AAAAAAATCATCTTGCTATCTTTCTTTCACAGCATTAGTCATGTGAACACCATCACCACAGCCCTGCAGACGATACCCCGGCTTCCGCCGGCGCCGCGTTTGTGTGGGAGCGAAGGTTGAGCTGAGCGAGGTGCAGGCGGCACGAGCTCTGAGGGGCCAAAAATTCATATTTGCCAAGGGTAGGGGGGAAAAGGGGCTTCACAGCAGCACTCGGCAGGCAGCAACGGGGGAAAGGAAAACCTGGACAGAGCAGAGCTGCTGGAACTGCATGGAGCTGCGAAACTTGCACAGCTGAACCCCAGGGCTCAAAGGCTTTTTCTTCCTTATTTGTTTTTTGCTCTTTATTTCCTTTTCCTCTTCATTTGCTTTTCCTCTTCATCTGCTTTCCCCCTCTTTATTTCCTTTTCCCTCGTTATTTCCTTTCCTCCTCTTTATTTCCTTCCCCCCTCTTTATTTCCTTTCCCCCTCTTTATTTCCTTTCCTCCTCTTTATTTCCTTCCCCCCTCTTTATTTCCTTTCCCCCTCTTTATTTCCTTTCCTCCTCTTTATTTCCTTCCCCCCTCTTTATTTCCTTTCCCCCTCTTTATTTCCTTTCCTCCTCTTTATTTCCTTCCCCCCTCTTTATTTCCTTTCCCCCTCTTTATTTCCTTTCCTCCTCTTTATTTCCTTCCCCCCTCTTTATTTCCTTTCCCCCTCTTTATTTTCTTTCCCCCTCTTTATTTCCTTTTCCCCCTCTTTATTTCCTTTTCCCTCTTCATCTGCTTGCTCACGTTAATGCTCCAAAGAGCCAGTTTGAGGAAAACCATGAAACACACCAAGCTTCACACAGTGACTACGTTAAGAATGGAGACAAAACTGCCACTAAAAAGAATATTTTAACGTGGCCTATATTCCAGCCTGAAACAGATGAGAAACGAGCACAATTATTTTCCACTCCCCTTCCATTGCACTGGAATAAAACTGAATTTCTTTTTGCACAGGGTAAAAATACGAAAATTTGACCACCAAGCAATTTCACTAAATGTCAAAAAATAAATGTACTTTTTAAAGTACTACTTCTGAAAATAAATAATGCTACAGATAGCTGTGCTAGCCAGTGCAAATGTGCTCCCAGAGGAAGAGCAAAGAAGTGAAACGGGCAGATAGGAAGCAGGGGGAGGTGCTA